ACGCCTCTAGAGGAATCCAGGAACCCAAGCCTGGTCAGAGCTGGGCTTTGCACTCTCCAGGTTCCTTCTGCAGCCACACTTACACAGTTCCCTAACACTAGGCCCGGCCCATTGCCCTTCTCTATCCCAGCTTTCAGCCTGCATGGTAAACTTTGAAAGTAAAGGCCATGAAGTGAGGATTTCTTTAAAATAAGCTACATTTATTCAAAGTGTTGAAAATTTCAAAGGCTTATTTTTGTTTGTTTGTTTCTTTCTTTCTTTCTCTCTTTTTTTTTTTTTTCTTTTCGAGACAGGGTTTCTCTGTGTGGTTTTAGTGCCTGTCCTGGATCTCGCTCTGTAGACCAGGCTGGCCTCGAACTCACAGAGATCCACCAGGCTCTGCCTCCCGAGTGCTGGGATTAAAGGCGTGCGCCACCACTGCCCGGCAAAGACTCGTATTTTTATGAAATCATAGCTATAGGACAGTGATACAAGGAATCGCTGTATTCAGTTTGTTATTGATAAAAAACAATATGAGTGAGCCTATGTTTTAATCATTAAGAAAATGATCAGTTTGCTAAATCCAGAAGTCTGGTTATACTGAGGGCATAGCTGGGTGGTACAGTCCATGCTTAGCACACACAAGACCCTGGATTTAATCCATAAGGATCAAATTAAATATGAATGAATGAATGAATGAATGAATGAATGAATGGACATGAGGACTTCTGGAGTAGTAATTAAAAAGTGCCTGAAGTCAGGCATGACAGCCTGTAACTGTAGTTCCAGCATCTCAAGTTTGAGACTGGAGGACTTCTTCAGCCCAGAAGTTTGAGACCAGCTTGACAACCAAGCATGATCCCTCTCAAAGAGAGAAAGCCCCAGTCTGTCTGAAGTCATGTAAGGCTGCTCTCAGGCCTAGTCTGCTGTCACTAGCAGCCTTTTCCAACGTGTTCAGAAGTGACGACAGTACCACAGAAGAGCGGTCATGCGTGTGTGTGTGTGTGTGTGTGTGTGTGTGTGTGTGTGTGTGATGAGTATTGCCAAAATAAGACAGATGTCCTTGCTGTGGGATGGTCTAGAAATTCTCCAGCTACATGTCCTTGCCCTGTGACCATGTTCAAGTGCTAATTTCTGAAAGAAAAAAAAAAAGCTGTGGTACTATACTCTACCCCATGGCTTGACATCATTGGATGCCATGGATGTTTCTCCAATATGCAGGTCTGAACGCAACCACTACTGTGACCTTGTGGGAGGTGGGATGTTTATGAGGTGCCAAAGGCAGGGCTCAGGACAGGAGTGGTAAGAACAGCTTTGCTGGAGAAGCTGTACCTCGCTTGTGCTGTGGTGGGGTGGTGCTCCCCATCACACTGGGACAGTGGCAGGTTGCCTTTCCCACCCCAGCACTTTCACCTAGTGTTTCCTGGCCCCCAGAACCATAAGAAATGCTTCCACACAGGTTGACACATCTGGTCTCATGTCACAGTGTCAGAAAGTTCTTAAGAATTAGTGCTGCCAACACTCAGGTCTTCAGTCTACACTGGTCCACTAGCGAGCTTCAGGGCTGTATCCCCCATTACTGAGTGGAGAATGCATGCTTACAACCCAGTTATTAGCAATACAATTCAATTTGTGTAAAATGAAATCCATACAAGTGGTCACCCTTAACCATCCTTCTAAACAGGCCTAGCTATAGAGATGCCACAGTGCCATCCACATGTGGAGTGATGCTGTATGGATGCCACAGTGCCATCCACATGTGGAGTG